GAGTTCAAAACGAACATACAGATATATACAAATTACAATTTCATTTTTTTCAGAAAATAAGTGCAATATGTTATTCGTAGTGCACAAAACGTAAAAGTCATTTATTGAGATTTGATTTAAAATGTATTTTAACACGTACAATGAAAAATAATTGCTCGTAATTCCAGAGTACCAATTTGTTAATGACTTGGAAAAAGAACATGGCGGCCTACTTTTAAAAAACTTTCAATGGACGGAATATTGAAATAAAAGAGTTATGAAAATGGTTCTGATTAAAAGTCTACAGGCTTTCTTTAGTAAAATTTCGAATTTTAGTATCACTTCCGATTTTGAGTTTATACCGTACTTTCAGCGAGTGATTTATTGATCAAAAAACGTTGCCTTATTTCTTGAAACGAGCAAGTATTAAGTAAACTCAAAATTCATAAATATAATGTTCTCGGATCAAGTACAAAGAAGCTATACGGTTAAAAGTTTACTGATTATTTGACGTAATTTATGTTTATTTCGTTATAGAGCTTTTGGAAATACCATTCTAATACTTTTCATACTTCAAGTGTTATAATAATTGAGGAGATGGGCGGAATAAAGGTCTAATTACAAAATCTTGATTTTAATAAAAATTAAAATAACTTGCTATTTTTTTATTACACAAACGATATAGTATCAAATAAATTTATGTAATGTCCTTAAGAAGTTACATGTTACAATATTTCCCTGTTACGATCAATATTATATAAAAAAGCTAATTTCTTCAAAAAAGGGCCTAAGTAGAGTTGTGCCTTCATTCCTCTCGATTCCTTTGTAAAAGCTTCGATATTATTTCTAAATGGACACCGAGAAACTCATCAAAGTTTTGAACGCAAGCCACCATGTTCTTTTTCCGAGTCATTAACAATTTGAATTACGAGCAATTATTTTTCATTGTACGGGCTAGTATAAATTTCAAATCTCAATAAACGACTTTTATGTTTTGTGCACTAAGAATAACATATCGTACTTATTTTTTTAGAATGAATTGTAATCTATTTTACTTGCATGTATATATGTTCGATTTGAACTCGCACCTTTAATAGTACATCAGTTATTTGTTTTGATAATATATTATCAGATAATCATTAAAATTTTTAAAAGTTTACATTTTTGAAAATACGCTTTATATATGTACCCACTTTAAAGTGGGACCTTGAATAATATATCAGTTACTTTTCGTGGTAATATATACTGTTAGATAATATATTATTAGATAATCGTTTAAATTTTTTAAGGTTTATATTTTTGAGAATACGCTTTATAGAGAATACGCTTTTTATGTTTACTTTGAACTGGGGACCTTGAATAATATATTAATCATTATCAATGCATATTAATTATTCTTCTTATATCCTTATATACCAATCTTAAAAATAAAGTACTTCATTTCTATTGTCACATGACTCCTGTAACATTGCATCATATCTATCATAATACATATATATGGTAACTTTATAAATTATTATTTAAATTTAATATAAAAATCATTATTATCGTTATATAAAATTCATTCTTAATTGCTTATGATTTAACAGCTCCTCTTTCTTTTCCTTTTTGTTTAATAGCATTCTTTTTATTCGATCCACGTGATCACTTCAATTTTTCTTTTAAGGATCCGACAAAATTTAAAATAATATATAAATTATAAATAAATAAAGAAATAACTGATTTAATTTTATTTAATTTTATCATGAATTCTAAGTCCCTTCAGCGAATCTATATATTCTCGTTTAGCATCCAAAGGATGCAACCGA